GTGTCTTTTTTCTAAAGAAAAAAATTCCTCAGATCACTGAGGTGACTTTTTTCCATAGAAAAAAAATCCTAAGTTCACTGAGGTGACTTTTTTTCGATAGAAAAAAATTCCTCAGTAATTAATTTTCAAATTTCCCAATTAATCCTAAGCATTAAATGTCTTCAATCTTATCAAAATAATTTTGTTAACATTTAACCCAAAAACAAAACACTGCTACCTGAGATAATCATCAACAACAAACCACAATAAATTCATGAACAAATAATGCACCTCATTAACACCCCCAAAATGACAGAATTACAAAAATGTCGTGTCTTCTTCGGATACAATCATTCAGATACGATAATTTGATTTTATTACCATTCGTAATTGATGATTTGGAAAGAAATTAGAATTAAAAAAAAAATCAAATAAAAAATCCAAAAAATCTCACATTTAAATGTCATGGCACGTTTGGGTCTTAAGTCTTTCGTTTTGCTCTCATTATCAGAATTAACTACTGCTATTCTCCAAAATAAAAAACAAAAACAAATAGCAACAGCTTTATCTAATAATTATTTACTTCAAGTACTATTTATTTAACTTATTTGTTGTTTTTGTTACAAATTTCTGTTTAGCTTCTGCTTTATTCGAACAAGAAAACAAACAATTTGTTGCTTGTTCGCTCATCGCTATTTGTCATTACCCAGACAAACAGTATCTGCAAAGCATGGCTAGACAATTGTACAAATATACATACCTACATAGATATATAGGTAAAATAGGTATATAGGTATATTTCGTGTACTCAGTATGGTGTACCTATGTCCAGCTGTGTGTATCAGGCAGTCAGTTAGTCACACATCCCAGTTAGCCAATAATCATCATCACCATCATGATTGCCGTTTAAGCTTACGGTACTTATTTGGTATGCACCTCAGGTTAATGTGACATTGATTTTCGTTCAAGTAGCAAAGGCAACGGCAGCAACAACAATAATAACAACAACATGAAAAAAACGAGAATAAGTAATAATACGTTTTTATGGCATTTTGCTTTAATTTTTATTTTGGGTTTTTTGTCCGATGGCATTTTAAAATTTATTTGAATTTGGTTTGATTTAATTTTTTTTGGTTAGAAACACCAAAAAATCAAAAACTCGCCAAGCTTCTTGTTTTTTTTATTTTTTGGGATGATTATATCTTGTCCACAAAATATATTGCTGTGTGTATGTGAATTTAAAAGCGTGATTTTGTGTGTGGGGGTATGGCCGGTAAGAATATTTAATTCTGTGTGTGTGTGTTTGTTTTTTTTCTTGTTTCAAATTTTGCCGTGAAGAGAAAGTATTATGGCAATGTTGTGTGAAATGTCAGGCAATTGACTTTTTTTGTCATTAGAATTTTGCCTTTGTTTTGAAAACGAGTAAAGCGGCTTTTAACTTTATAACGGTACAAATTCTCTATAGAACAGGATTTCTTTTATTGATATTTTAAATAATTGGTAATTATATTTAATTGTTAAATACAGAACTTGAAAATATTACTTAAAAATTCTTAAAAAATGAACATTTTTATAACAAATCCACGCCTGTTGCGGTTATTTGAAAAATAATTTTAAGAAACCCGAACATGTTTGGCTTTAAAAAATATAAAAAAAATAATAAATCTTAAAAAAATAGTCTGTCGTTTTTGAATATAAAAAAATTATTTAGAATTTTTTTTCAAAATATTTTGTATATATTTTTTTAAGAATATTTTTTCAAGGCCTACAAGAGGCGTGGATTTTTTAAAGAATATTTTTTCAAGGCCTACAAGAGGCGTGGATTTTTTAAAGAATATTTTTTCAAGGCCTACAAGAGGCGTGGATTTTTTAAAGAATATTTTTTCAAGGCCTACAAGAGGCGTGGATTTTTTAAAGAATATTTTTTCAAGGCCTACAAGAGGCGTGGATTTTTTAAAGAATATTTTTTCAAGGCCTACAAGAGGCGTGGATTTTTTAAAGAATATTTTTTCAAGGCGAACAAGAGGCGTGGATTTTTTAAAGAATATTTTTTCAAGGCCTACAAGAGACGTAGATTTTTTAAAGAATATTTTTTCAAGGCCTACAAGAGGCGTGGATTTTTTAAAGAATATTTTTTCAAGGCCTACAAGAGGCGTGGATTTTTTAAAGAATATTTTTTCAAGGCCTGCAAGAGGCGTGGATTTTTTAAAGAATATTTTTTCAAGGCCTACAAGAGGCGTGGATTTTTTAAAGAATATTTTTTCAAGGCCTACAAAAATATTTTTATAAGGCCGTGAATTTTTTAAAGAATATTTTTCAATGCCTTCAAGAGACGTGGATTTCTTAAAGAATATTTTTTCAAGGCCTTCAAGAGACGTGGATTTCTTAAAGAATATTTTTTCAAGGCCTTCAAGAGACGTGGATTTCTTAAAGAATATTTTTTCAAGGCCTACAAGAGGCGTGGATTTTTTAGAGAATATTTTTTCAAGACCTACAATAATATTTTTATAAGGCCGTAAATTTGTTAAAGAATATTTTTTCAAGGGCTACAAAAATATTTTTACAAAGCCGTGGATTTTTTAAAGATTATTTTTAAGACTAGCTTTGTATATATTAAAGAATATTGTTCAAGACATATACAAGGCTTGTATTAATTAAAGGATATTTTTTCTAGGGCTACAAAAGGCATGGATTTTTAAAGAATATTTTTTTATTAAAAAAAATCTTTAAAAAAAATATTTTTTTAAACCTCACGCCTTTTTAGTCTTTGAATTTTTTTAATCTATGCCTCCATCTTTTGAAAAAACTATTTAAAAAAATCTATGCCTCTATTCTTTGAAAAATATTTTTTTAAACACTCCATACCTCGTTTAGTCTTCAAAAAACGTCATCTTTCGATTTGCACGAAATTTGGTATAGCGTACTGAATTGAGTCTAGAATCGTGTTAAGTTTCGTGAAAATCGGTTCAGATTTAGATATATCTCCCATATATATTTTCGTCCGATATTATGTAAATGGTGAACCAAAGTCCCTATATATCTTTAAATTTCCACGAAATTTGGCATAGCGTACTGAATTAAGTCAGGAATGATGAATGCTAAGTTTCGTGAAAATCGGTTCCGAATTAGATACAGCTTTCATATATATTTTCGTCCGATTGAAGGTAAATGATGCACTAAAGTCCCTAAATATCTTTCGATTTGCACGAAATTTGGCATAGCGTACTGAATTGAATGTCAAATTATATGCGTTAAGTTTCATGAAAATCGGTTCAAATTTAGATATAGCTGCCATATATATTTTCTTCCGATTTTAGGTAAATAGTGCACCAAAGTCCCTATTTATCTTTCGATATGCACCAAATTTGACATAGCGTACTGAATTGAATGACGAGCGATGTGTGTTAAGTTTCGTGAAAATCGGTTCAGATTTGCATATAGCTTTTGGCATAGCGTACTAAATTGAGGCTAGAACGATTTGTATTAAGTTTCTTGAAAATCAGTTTAGATTTAGATATAGCTCCCATATATATTTTTGGCCAATTTAATTTAAATGATGCAAAAAAGTCCCTATATATCATTTGATTTGCACGAAATTTGGCATAGCGTACTGAAATGAGTCTCAAATGATGTGTGCTAAGTTTCGTGAAAATCGGTGCGGATTTAAATTCTCGCTACAAAATTTGGGGATTTTCCAAAAACTATTTGTCATTCATTTACTTTTATTTTTGGAAGCATTCATTCCTTCACGTCCATATTCATTTAAACAAAAATAATAAACAATGAATTTTGCTCTAATTTTATTCAGCAACACAACAACAACAACAAAACATATTTGCTATTATTATGCAAACGAAGAAAACCAAAAAATTCTTAGCCCACATTTTCGTTTTGGGTGACCCAATTACAGCAACAATAACTTGCATGGTTTGACAACAGCAACATGGTTGCAAGTTAGGCAGGCCATTGCACCAGCCATCCATCCATCGAACCAACCAACCGACCAACAAAAAATACAACAATACGGAAAAAGAAACCACAAATTATTTAACAATCACTTGTTGCTGTCGTTGTTGTTGTTGTTTTATTTACAAACAAAACCAAAAAAAACATAACCATAAATTTCAATAAATGGGTGTAACTGGATTCGTTTTTGCGCTCAAGATTTCAATCACTCTCATTACGTGCTTAGCAAAGCAAATACACCGCCGCATGGTGGAGATCTTTTTTCCAAATTCAATTCCATTCCTTCAAATGACAATTGACATTTTCCAAAAGACTCCATGACTAAGGAGGAGGGGTGGATAATGTTGTCATTTTCTTTGCTAATAAAAAATATGAATTTATGTTTCTTTTATTCTTAATTTACAAAACATTGCATAAATATCCATTAAGATGTAAGATTTTTGGCAAAAGACAGCAGCAACAACAACAGCAACTACGAACAAAACATATTTATTTATGATGATCATAAATTCTTGATCGTGGTTTTGTTCGACAATGCCTTTCAAAAAATACAAAATGCTTTTGAAATATATTTTCAAGATGGATATCAAGTACCAGTGGAAAGAACCAAAAATGTATTCATTATTAAACAATTAATTTTGTACACTTTATTTTTATTTTTTGTTATTAAATTACAAAAAATTACCAATCTTGTACGCCCAGCCATTACTTCACTTCTTGTTTTATTTATCCACCTTCCAAAATTGATTTCTTGGCTAAAGGAAATTTCAAAAGTCATTCCCCTTTTCCATGGAAGGAAATAATAATGCCATAACCTGAGTCTATGTGCGTGTAACATAATTTACAGTTATTATTTTTATTTTTTATACAAAAATTATTTATTAATTTATATCGCCTGCCCCGAAGTCAAAAACCTCCCAAATATTTTTTTTCTAATTTTATCCAAATTATTAAAATCTAATTTACAAATTATTTATATTCTCTGTTCTTCTTTTTTTCAGATTGGCTAACAACTCCTATCTCTCCATCTTAACTTCAATTAACCCCACCCACAACAACAACAAAAAACAGAAAAAAAATGATTTCACGTCGCAAAATTATTTCACGTTCTTTGGATAATTTGGATGCCATAGGTCCAAACACAGAAGAGGAAGAGGACGTTTGGTATGACAAAGAGAAACTATTTAGGGTAAGTAAAAATAAAAAATAAATGAATAAAAAATAAAAACAAGTGCAACTAGTAAGGAATGTAGTAAAGTCGGACTGGGTCGACTATATGACACCCTTCACCACTTTGGGTATATTGTACACAAGTATCCTAACAATTTCTTCTTTGGGCCAAATAAATGATCCGTGCGAAATTTCATCCAATTCCGATCATAAATGCGACCTGTATTTTGTTTACAATTTAACATGGACAGACAGACGGACATGCATAATTCCCAAAAGGAACCATGGGTCTATCCCGTTTCCTTTTACCTTTTACAAACATATGCATAAAGACATAATACCCTTTACCACTGTGTGGTGTTGATATCACTTCAGGCCGCGCAAACCTAAACCTGGTGACGAAAATCATTGCCCACGCATTATTGTTAATACACAAGTGTTAAAAGATGTCACTGGGTACCAAGTCAGAGTTGTACTTCGGAAGACCACGCTTTGTCTGTTCACCAAAACGGAGTTCTTTGGAGCCGGTACATGGCAAGAGCTCCCATTGCCATACGTCGTCTTATCTTGTACACAAGTTGTGGTGTGCCTCTCAGAATTGGACATCGTGCAATGCTCAAACGAAATAGTCCAGTTACAGGTGCAGAAACAGAAAACCATTTGCTTCAAGGTGCTTCTTCCAACGAATAACCTTCCTAAGATTTAGCTCATCTTCGAAGAACCCACTCGGACGATTGATAATTGTTTTTTTAGCGCTCATCTGCATGTGTTCATTATTCGTCACCTACGATGATCTTATAAACGACTTTTTCAGCACAAAGATCGATCAAAATTTCTTTGCACCAATTGACACGAAAACTTTTCTTGGCGATTATTAAATTTTGCGGGATCCATCAAGAAGAATCTATTTTTCTAATCAGGTGTTAATACAAACACGAATTTATGCTGGTTGATAAAATGACCAACGAAGTCTCCGCATATCAGTTTTCGGTGGCACAACCGCCGTTTTTGGACTATATTCGGCTTTGATTAGGCTTCGATCACAATGGTATTCTTTAAACCACTTTTTCACAATGCTATACCATGGCGTGTTTCATCGCCATACAATCCGCTTGTTGGTCCTTTAAAAACATTCTTACTTGTGGTTCAGTAATCCTTAAAAAATAGTACGTAAACTACTTTTTCGTGGTTCATGTGGTCCATAATATCTATTACGAAATCCAAAAATGATTACCAACATTCCACACTGAAGATAATTTTGTATTATTTTACCCAGCTTATAGATCCCTTAATATTCTATTAAAAACAACGCTTATAGGTCCCTTATATTCATGTCAAAATCCACAACAATAAGACCCCTGAAACAGTTCGTCCTCGGACGGCTCACAAGAAAGACGTAAAAAAATTTTAAATGAGTATTACACGCCCACGGGCTTAAAAATAGATTTTTACAAAATGGCGGTTGTTAAGCGTTCGCTTAACTAACACGTGTGTTTTTAAATACGGATAACCTATAAATTACGAGTCGTTCAACAAAATCCAAACAGCTGCGCATGAAATTTTTAATTTTCGTAAATTTAATAGCAAAAGAAGATGCTTTTCGCTACTATGTGACTCCTTCACAGTAGAAGAGTTCACTGATACACAAGGCTTAGAAAGTCTGAACATTGTGGTCAAATTCTTAAAGAAGATCGAAGTCAACCTGCAAAACACAAACCACCATCTATGGATAAAGTCAAATTCGTAGCTTAAGCTACATATGGAGACATGGCTCTGAACATTCTATTACCAAATAGGACGTGAGCTAAGGAGGAGAGGAGTTAATAAAAAAAAAAAAAAAAAAAAAAAAAAAAAAGACCCCTGAAAAAAATCTATGGTTATTCGTCCTTTAATTTAATTTTAGAATTTACGCTTGTTGGTCCTGTGGTCCTTTAATAATATTCTATAAAAAATCGCTCCAATTGACTCAATAATCCTTAAAAAATATTCTTTCAGATACACTTTGCTGGTCCATTAACACATTTACGCTTGTGGGCACGCTTGTAGGTCCCTGAAAAAGTATTCTTGTTATTGAAATTCGTTTACAAATCTACGCTTGTAGGTCCCTTGATATTCGTTTTAAAATCTAAGCTTGTAGGTCCCTTGATATTCGTTTAAAAATCTACGATTATTGATTTCATAGTCCTTTAGTTCAAAACTCTACGATTGTAGTGGTCCTAGAATGGATATTCTACCCTATTTGTCCCTTGAAATTTTGACATAACTAATTGTATTCTCTCTTTTTTATTTAGGATCACATCAATGAAGTCTTGAGCAAATGGGAACAAATCGATGATGAGATTTGGGCCAAAATCATTGTATTCGAAAAGAATCGTCGTGTGGCCAAGGCCTATGCCAGATCATCGGTGATTTCTATAAATGGTTCTAAACAAGGATTCGACGGTGTCAGGTGGGTATTTGGCATATCTTTAATTAAAAATAAGAACAAAAATTATTTTTCATTATTTTCCTCTGTATCCTCCACAGAATTGGCTTGAATGGTTTTGACAATCCCATGCGTGATTCGGAAATCAAGGTAATTAAAAAATCCATTGGTGATGGTTTCAAAATCAAAATGGATGAAATTGGAAATGTGTTTATCAAACGCTATGGCAAGAGCGGGGTATTTGTGCACAATACAAGTCAAACAAATGAGGAGACAGTGATTGGGGCAGATATTTTACAAATGCCCAATATGGCATTGCAGGCTGGGACCTCAGCTAAGGTAAGGCGATACTTTTCTATTTGATTTTTTTAAATACTAATTTCATTGTTGGACTTTACAGTTATTCGATATGCGTAAATTCACCACCAACATAAATCGTGAAATGTGTCGTTCCTATCCGGAATGCTCGCGTTTGCAACGTCAATGCCTATCTGCCATATCATTGGTTAAAAATAACAATAATCTAATCAATTGTCCATTATGGATACTGGTCATTAACGTGGTTGCCGTAGATATGTTAAAGAATCGCATACAGAGCCTGCCCAAGGTTATGGGTAGTGGCAGTGAAGATCCCTATTCGACAATTGAAAGTCAAGTGGGTCTAATATATCCAACACCTGCAGCCTCAGATGATTCGAATACCTCATCGAATTCATCGAGTAAGGGTAGACGCAGTCTATACAATATTGGAAATTATTTGGATGATAGTCCCCTTGTGCCAAAGGTAAGGAAAACTGAACTAAGACCTTAAATAAAAAATAGCTTCAAAATCGAATTTCCCTCCCAGTACTATTTTAAAAAAAACTTCAAAAATCGATTAAAATCCTCGAATATCTCTCAGTGAGAGAGAGAGAACAATTCTCCGACCCTGAGGAATTTTGTTGTTATTTTAAAAATTCCTTTTTTACATATTTTTTTATAATGTTTTTTTATTTTTTCCTTTCTTTTTAGCCCGATTATGAAATCTATAATCAATCTGTGCCAATGTTAGGCGTTAAGAGTAAGAAATCATCCAGCGCCTCGGCCACAACCCAGCAACGCAAGAAACAAGATGATCCCTATTATTGTGGTCTGCTGGCACGCATTCCCAATTTCATTAAGACCTCAAAGAATTCGAATTCGAATGGTAGCAGTACCAATGCCAAGCTGAGTAAAAAAGATGCCAAAATTGCCCGAAAAATATCAGCTTCACAACAACAGCTGGCAAATTTGCCACAGCCAGCACAGCCAATGCCCATAGCACAATTCCATCAGCAGTGTGTCGGTTATAATTATTATCCATACAGGCTGTATTGCCAAAATCATCGTTTGTCACAGTCCCAGCTGTCACTGTGGGACTCACGTAGTTTGATAAGTGCGCATGGTAAGTTTTCAAAACAGTAAATATGTAGTATATAATCCAAGAATGTGAACCCCGGCAGCCCTTGACTAAAGAAGGAATTTATTTGGCCTCAGAATCCTTCAAAAATATTATTTTCAAAGCCTGTCAGTCTGAAAGCCATTTTAAAATAGTATGTAAAAACCCACGTTTGTTGTCCCGCAAGGCCTTTTGAAGCTTTCTTTTTTAAAGTCATCTGTTTTTTTTAATAATATTCTTTTAAACACCCACGCTTGTTGTCCTCCTAGTTATTTAAAAATTATTTTTTTAAGAAACATTTTTTGGCCCCGAATGCCTTGAAAAATATGATTTTAAAGACCACTTTTGTTGGTCTTTTATTCCTTTAAAAATAATGATTTTAAAGTCCACGATTATTAATCTGATAGTCCTTTAAAAATATTTTTTAAAACTCCTTGTTTATTGGTCTGAAAGCCTTTAAAAATATTCTATAAAAACCTCAATCTAGTTGGTCCCATAGTCACTTAAAAATGTTATTTGAAAATCCACGTAAGTTGATCTTACGTTGACCTCAAAATAATGTTATTTTAAAAATCGACAATTGTTGTCCTTTTAGTCCTTTAAAAAATTTTCTTTAAAAAATCCAAATTTATTAGCTTTCAAGTCCTTTAAAATTTTTCTTTTTAAAATCCCAGTTTGATAGCCTTTAAAAAAATATTCTTTTCAAAATCCGCACTTTTTGGATCTATAATTATTTTTCTTCTTGTTTTACGTATCTCTTAATTGCAATTTTTTTAATAATTTTCGTTTTTCTTTTCTCTTTTTTACAGAATAAACTAAAATAGAAAAGGTCCTGCACAAACGAAGAGAACCGCTGGTATGCGCGGAAGCATTCGGTTTATTCTAATTTTTTATTTTCTTTTTAACTATTTATGTAATTTGTTTTTAATTTATAGTCTTTAGTTGATAATTTATGTTATTATTAATTTTAAGAGAAGATTTTTTTTTATAAAAACAACAACAATTTATTTTATTTTACAATAACGAATAGCAAAATGCATTTGATATTGTAAAATAAACCTTGAAATTCATAATGTTGTGTGTGACACACACACATACAACCAACATCTATGTGATTATAACAATTATTACTATTATTAAAAAATTAAATTAAGCACAAAAGCTGTATTGCAAAGCTTTTGTTTTCTGAGTTATTTTAATTTTGATATTTAGTTAAAATATATTTTCGAAATAATACTCGTCATATTTTTATTATTTTAAATAAATATATACATATTAAAAATGCATACATATATAAGTCATAAATATATTATTATTATATATCTACTATATATTGCCATAGTTCTCTTATGTATGTTCGTTTCTGTTTATTATTTTTTTTTTATAATTTTTCGTAATTTTAATTTTTAAGACTGAAAATGTCCTGTTCATTTAATTATAATTATATATATATTTTTGATAGTATATTGAAATATATATATGCTGCTTATAGGCAAAAAAAAAACAGTTTCGAAAAATTCAATCAAATTTTTGTATTTAAATATAGGGTATATTTGTTTTTTTGTTATCTAAAATAGATTTTTTTTTTGTTTTTTATTTTGTATATATAAAAAAATAACTATGTATTTCTGGAAACAAAAATAAAATTAAATAATGTAAATAAATTTAAAGTATGATATACAATTAAAAAACAATGGAACAACAACATAAATTTAGCGGTATATAAATACTTAAAAAATATCATTTTTTTAAAGAAACAAAAAATTAAGTCGATAGGATATATCTACAAATATATATAAATATTTTATTTATAATAAATGAAAGTCATAAATATTTTAATCGTTTTTTGTTTTATTTTTATTTATTTATTTTTTTTTTTTTTTTTTTGGAGAACATTAAACAGAATTGATGAATTTCTGGAACATACCTACAAACGTGAATTCTAAAGAAAGTTTTCTAAGTTTTTAAGGGGACGAATAAGACTATTTAAAAAAATGTTTCTAAAGGACTAGATGAATTAAAAAAAATATTTATAATGGACTATCAAGCATTGGGGTTAGAAGAATATTGAAGACATTTTTAAGGGACAATCAAGGGCGGATTTTTAAAATCAAATTTTTAAGGGCTATGGAAACAAAAAAGCTTGGACTGTTAAATAATATTGTTTAAGGGACTACCATAATAATAGTAATAATAATATATTTGAAGGGGGTGTGCACCAACAATCGGGGATTTTAATTGATAAGGACAATATAAAAAATATATAAAAAATGAACATTGAGAGATAAAAATGGTTACACGACCAAAAAGTGTGGTTTTTGTAAAGAATATTTTTTCAAGAGCTCAGAGTTTTAAAGGTAATATTTTTAAAGGACAAAAAAGACCAACAAGTGTGGAATTTTAAAATAATAATATTTTGCGGGGATTTTTATATAACTGTTTTAAGTAACTAGAGTGGGGTTTTAAAAGAATATTTTATAAACCAACACATCACACCAACAAGCGTTGTTTTCAAAATAATATTTTTAAAGAACTAAACTGACCAAAAAGCGTGGCTTTTAGAAGCGTATTTTTTTAAATAATATTTCCCAAGGCATTCGACGTTTTTGGCAACACTGATTATAACCGACACATTGCTGATGGAATTGTGCTATGGGCATTGGCTGTGGCAAATTTGCCAATTGTTGTCGTGAAGCTTCTATTTTTCGGACAATTTTGGCATCTTTGCTTTTTTATTGAAACATACAGTGGAGGCCACATATTTGCAACTTCTGAAAAAAGTTCAAATTTTATTGAAAATCCATAAAAGGATTTTTGAGATGTACAGTGGAGCCCACATATTTGCAACTTCTGAAAAAAGTTAAAAATTTCTTAACATATTCACAATTTCTGAAAAAAATTAGAATTTTCTTGAAAACATATTCACAATTTCTGAAAAAAATTAGAATTTTCTTGAAAATCCACAACGGGAGACACTTTGCTTTTTTTATTGAGACGTATAGTGGAGCCCACATATTTGCAACTTCTGAAAAAAAGTTAAAATTTTCTTGAAAATCCATAAGGGATCCTTTGCTTTTTTTATCGAATCGTACAGTGTAGCCTACATATTTGCAACTTCTGAAAAAAGTTAAAATTTTCTTAACATATTCACAACTTCTGAAAAAAGTTAACATTTTCTTGAAAATCCATAAGGGACCCTTTGCTTTTTATTGAAACGTGCAGTGGAGCCTACATATTTGCAACTTCTGAAAAAGTTAAAATTTTCTTTAAAATCCATAAGGGGGACCCTTTGTTTTTTTATTGAAACGTACAGTGGAGCCCACTTATTTGCAACTTCTGAAAAAAGTTAAAATTTTCTTGAAAATCCATAAGGGGGAACCCTTTGCTTTTTAATTGAAAAGTACAGTGGAGCCCACATATTTTTACTCAGCTTGGCATTGAACTGCTACCATTCGAATTGGAATTCTTTGAGGTCTTAATGAAATTGGGAATGCGTGCCAATAGACCACAATAATATGGATCATCTTGTTTCTTCCGTTGCTGGGTAGATGTCGAACATTTGCACAGATTGATTATTGATTTCATTCATAATTGGGCTATAAGGGAAAATAATAACAAAATTAAAAAAATATGTAAAAATTAATTTTTTCTCATTGAGGTGGTATCGCTGGTAACGTAAGTACTTCGAGTTGTTACAAGAAACATTTTGGTATGAACGGTTTTTTTGTAAAGAAGCTATAAATAGCTTCTGGGGAGAATATCCCAACAAAAAAGCTGAGGGTATTGATGAGGATGAGTGGCGAGATCCGAAACTATAGTCTTCCCTGCCTTATGGCATTGTCCCACACATTCCCTATTAGTGGGGAATGTGTGGGTTGTGGGTTGTAGTTGTTTTTTATAAAAACAACAAAATGGGATTCAACCTGACTGTTTTGCAAAAACAAAATACAAATGGTAACCCAAATAACCCGCCAACACTACTGAATTTTTAAAATATTAATAAAATTCCCCAGGGCCTGAGAAATGTTCTTTTCAAAAATCACTGAGAGCTTCGTGTTTATACCCTTCACCACACTGTGGTACAGGGTATTATGTCTTTGTGCATATGTTTGTAACAGGCAAAAATAATCGAGATAGACCCATGGCTCCTTTTGAGAATATGCATAGAATCACTTTCTGAATCGATTTATGCATGTCCGTCCGTCCGTCTGTCCGTCTGTCCATGTTAAATTGTAAACAAAGTACAGGTCGCATTTATGATCCGATTTGGATGAAATTTGGCACAGCTCATTTGTTTGGCCCAAGGACGAACCCTATTGAAATTGGGAAAAATCGGTTCAGATTTAGATATAGCTCCCATATATATTTTTGCCCGATTTACGGACTTTAGACCCTGAAAATCTTTCGATTTGCACGAAATTTGGGATAGCGTACTGAATTGAGCCACGAAAGATGTGTGCCAAGTTTCGTGAAAATCGGTTCAGATTTATATATAGCTCCCGTATATAGTTTCGCCCGATTTACGGACTTTAGACCATGAAAATCTTTCGATTTGCACGAAATTTGGCATAGCGTACTGAATTGAGCCACGAAAGATGTGTGCCAAGTTTCGTGAAAATCGGTTCAGATTTAGATATAGCTCCCATATATAGTTTCGGCCGATTTTTGGTAAATGGCGTACCAAAGTCCCTATATATCTTTCGATTTGCACGAAATTTGGCATAGCGCACTAAATTAAGTCTAGAATGATGTGTGCAAAGTTTCGTGAAAATCGGTTCAGATTTAGATATAGCTCCCGTATATATCTTCCTCCGATTTAAGGTAAATGGTGTACCAAAGTCCTTATATATCTTTCGATTTGCATGAAATTTGGCATGACGTACTGAATTGAGGCTAGAATGATGTCTGCCCAGTTTCGCGAAAATCGGTCCAGATTTAGATATAGCTCCCATATATAGTTTCGTCCGATTTCATGTTAATGGTGCCCCAAAGTCCCTATATATCTTTCGATTTGCAGGAAATTTGGCATAACGCACTGAATTGAGCCTAGAATGATGTCTGCCCAGTTTCGAGAAAATCGGCCCAGATTCAGATATAGTTTCGTCCGATTTCATGTAAATGGTGCACCAAAGTCCCTATATATCCTTCGATATATTTGGATAGAGCTTCCATATATATTTTCGCCCGATTTTAAGTAAATTGGACATCAAACTCTTCATGCTAGTCAGGTTGACATCAAATTTTGCACAACGTACAAAATTGAGCATAGAATTACGTAGTTGAGTTTTCTAGAAGTACAGACATAGCCCAACAGATAACCTATTTATATTTGATTGAAGTCGATTTATATAACTTATGGATATATAGGTAGATTCACATTTAGATAAATATCACATATTTTATTTCATCCAATTTCATGTTAATAGTCCTGTTTAATATATCCATAGTGGTGAAGGGTATCATATAGTCGTCCCCGTCCGACTTTACTACTTTCCTTACTGGTTTTTGATTGAATTTTGAATTTGTTTCAAAGATCACTAGGAGGGATCTTAGTTTTCCTTACCTTTGGCACAAGGGGACTATCATCCAAATAATTTCCAATATTATATAGACTGCGTCTATGCCTACTCGTTGAATTCGATGAGGTATTCGAATCATCAGAGGCTGCAGGCGTTGGATATATTAGACCCACATGACTTTCAATTGTCGAATTGGGATATTCACTGCCTTGGGTTGGCTTTGTATACGATTCTTTAACATATCGTGACAACGGCATTAATGACCAGTATCCATAATGGACAATTGATTACATTATTATTTGATATGGCATTGGCGTTGCAAATGCAAACATTCCGGATAGAAACGACACATTTCACGATTTATGTTGGTGGTGAATTTACGCATATCGAAGAGCTGTAAAGCCAAACAATGAAATTAGTATTTAAAAAAAATCAAATAGAAATGTATCTCCTTACCTTAGCTAAGATGCCAGCATGCAATGCCATATTGGGCATTTGTAAAATATCCGCCCCAATCACTGTCTCCTCATTTGTTTGACTTGTATTGTGCACAAATGCCCCGCTCATAGCGTTTGATAAACACATTTCCAATTTCATCCATTTTGATTTTGAAACCATCACAAATGGAGTTTTTAAATAACCTTGATTTCCGAATCACGCATGGGATTATCAAAACCATTTAAGCCAATTCTGTGAAGAAAATAACGAAAAAAAATGTTTATTCTTATATTTAATAAAAATATTTGCCAAATACCCACCTGACACACAAATCCTTATTTAGGAACATTTATAGAAATCACGGATGATCTGGCATAGGCCTTGACCACACGACGATTCTTTTCGAATACAATGATGTTCACACAAATCTCATCATCAATTTGTTCCCATTTGTTCAGCACTTCATTGATGTGATCCTAAATAGAAAAGGGAGGAGAAGGAGGAATACATTATTTATTTAAAAATTTCAAGGGAACAACAAGCGTAGATTTGTTCAAGAATGACCATTCAAGACCACTACAATCGTAGATTTTTAAATTAAATGACTATGAAATCAATAAGCAAGGGCCCTACAAGAGTGGTTAACAATCCAAGGGACCTACAAGCGTAGATTTTTAAACGATTTTCGAATCACGCTTGGGATTTAATTGAAGCCAAGGAGGAGACAAAGATAATAAAAAATATACAGTGAGTGTAATAAGTATTTTGCCTCAATAAAAATTTGACAAAATTCTAGTATGACCACACCGAATCCTTGTTTGCAACTATTTATAGAAATCATCGATGATCTGGCATAGGCCTTGGCAACCCTACAATTCCTTTCGAATGCAATGATTTTGGCCCAAATCTCATAATCAATTTGTTCTCATTTGCTCAATACTTCATTCATGGGTTTCTAAATTAAGGAAAAAGAAAATATGATATTTTTTCCAAGGGCCAATATGCTAGGATTATCAAAAATACAAGAGTAGATTTTTAAGGGAATATATTTTGTAGATTCCAATAGGACCAACAAGATTAGATATAAAAAACCAGTAAGGAAAGTAGTAAAGTCGGACGGGGCCGACTATATGATACCCTTCACCACTATGGGTATATTAAACAGGACTATTAACATGAAATTGGATGAAATAAAATATGTGATATTTATCTAAATGTGAATCTACCTAGATCTATCCATAAAGTATGTAAATCGACTTCAAACAAATATAAATAGGTCATCCGTTGGGCTATGTCTGTACTTCTACAATACGAACTACGTAATTCTATGCTCAATTTAGTAAGTTGTGCAAAATTTGATGTCAATCTGACTAACATGAGGAGTTTGATGCCCAATTTACTTGAAATCGGGCGAAAATATATATGGAAGCTCTATCCAAATATTAAGCGATTTCAAACAAACTTGTCACTTGTTATACTAATTTCAGAACATTTTGTTCCTATCAGCCTATTGGTTACTTGGTGCATCAATTACTTAAAATCAATCTATAATAAAAGGGAGCTATATCTAAATTTGGACCGATTTTCACAAAACAAGCCAGACATCACTCTAGGCTCAATTCAGTACGTTATGCCAAATTTCGTGCAAATCGAAAGATATATAGCGACTTTGGTGCACCATTTACATGAAATCGGACGAAAATATATATGGGAGCTATATAGAAATCTCTACCGATTTTCTTGAAACTTGGCAGACACCACTCTAGGCTCACTTCAGTACGTTATGCCAAATTTCGTGCTAATCGAAGGATATATAGGGACTTAGGTGCACCATTTATATGAAATCGGACGAAACTATATATGAGAGCTATATCTAAATCAGGACCGATTTTCACGAAACATGGCAGACATCATTCTAGGCTCAATTCAGTACGTTATACCAAATTTCGTGCAAATCGAAAGATATATAGGGACTTTGGGGCACCATTTACATGAAATCGGACGAAACTATATATGTGAGCTATATCTAAATCTGGACAGATGTTCACGAAACTTGGCAGGAATAATTCTAGGCTCAATTCAGTACGTTATGCCAAATTTCGTGCAAATCGAAAGATATATAGTGACTTTGGGGCACAATTTACATGAAATCGGACGAAACTATATATGGGAGCTATATCTAAATCAGGACCGATTTTCTCGAAACTTGGCAGACATCACTTTAGGCTTCATTCAGTGCGTTATACCAAATTTCGTGCAAATCGAAAGATATATAGGGACTTTGGGGCACCATTTACTTGAAATCGGACGAAACTATATATGGGAGGTATATCTAAATCTGAACCGATTTTTTCAAAACTTGGTAGACATCACTCTAGGCTCAATTCAGTACGTTATGCCAAATTTCATGCTAATCGAAGGATATATAGGGACTTTGGTACACCATTTACGTGAAATCGGACGAAACTATATATGGGAGCTATATCTAAATCTGGACCGATTTTCACGAAACTTGGCAGACATCATTCTAGACCTAAATGATTAGGCTGTACCAAATTTCGTGAAAATCGAAAGATATATAGGGACCGTTTACATTAAATCGGTTAAATATATATATGGGAGCTATATCTAAATCTGAACCGATTTTCCCCAATTTCAACAGGGTTCGTCCTTGGGCCAAATAAGTGACATATGCCAAATTTCATCCAATTCGGATCATAAATGCGACCCGTACTTTGTTTACAATTTAACATGGACAGACGGACGGACGGACATGCATAAATCGACTCAGAAAGTGATTCTATGCATATACTCAAAAGGAACCATGGGTCTATCTCTATTATTTTTGCCTATTACAAACATATGCACAAAGACATAATACCCTGTACCACAGTGTGGTGAAGGGTATAATGATACAAGGTAGCAGCAAATGTGGATTTTTTTAAAAGATTTTATAAAAACAACAAAAACTGGGATTAAGCCTGACTATTTTGCACTTGCAACACTACTAAAGATTTTTTGAGATGTGAACTTTTTAAAAATATTTTTCAAGATACCCGCATGTCTGGATATTTTAAAAGAATCCTTTTCAAAATATCCGAAAGCATGGATATTTTTAAAAGAAAATGTCTTTCATTTTACAGAAAATCATTTGCGTCCCTTGTAGTCTTGTTTAGATACAATATCTTTGAGCACTACCTTTCAGATCGTCCATAACTTCCACAACTTTAAAGCCTATGAGATATTTTCACAGGAAGAGTAACTTTGAGGTATAGACAGATAAGGACTTTTGAGGTTTTCTAATAATGTATATTTTCATAATATAAATATTTATGAAAATATACATTTTTAAATATATAAATGATTTAAATAAAAAAATATATCTCACTTAATGAAGTTTAACTTTATTTGTAAAATACATTTGAAAATATATATAGCATCTCTCTTTACTCTTTTATATCACATCAAACATTTCAAAATACAAAATTAAATTTATAATTTAAAATAAAAAAATTGACTAGTAAAACAATAACAATTAACTATGTTGTACTGTCCTTTACATCTTTAAGATTTCTATCTTTTGATTCGTCCACACGAATAGTTTTCTCTTTAGGCAAATCATATGATGATTCGGAATAAAATTTCATATATGCCAAGGCTGAGAACAGAATAACGCATCCCAGCACAATTTCTTTTTGTAAAATTAAAAGATCATCACGCTCCTGTCTCTTTTTGTGATCGTATTGTTCCTTAGCTGTTCGACGACGTTGAAATGAATCGCCATAATGTTGTTTAGTCCATTCATCAAAGTCATACATTGGCGTTCGGCCCTGGCTGTCGGCAACTTTTGATTTTCTCAAACGTGATTTATAAAATCTCGTTGAAGGATCATCGGGTTCGGGGGCTTCATGTTCCTTTTGGGCATACTGGGGACCGGCCGTGTGGAGAATACCTTAAAAAACAAATGTCATTAATTAGTGATATAGGGAGTAGCATAAATCCCTTAACACATACCTTTATCATATAATTTCCTTAACCTAAAATTACCCAAGATCTCATAGGCCTGAGTGATTTCACGAAACTTTTTATTTCTCCTTGGGTAGCTTTTGGTGTTATCCCCAAGACGTCGTAGTGAGTGGAGTAGTTGACACCACCTGTTGATATGCTCCTTACATGTTTACCCAGTAAAATACTACGAAGAAAGAGGGAACTCAGGGATTTATTTAAGGACATTGTATAACATTGCCACCAAACCAAAACAAACTGGGATTACAAAGCTGACAACTGAAATCAACCGCCGTCGAAATGAGAAGCAGGAAGGAATGAGCGATGTAGACAAGAATCAAAACAAAAAACGAGAATGTGTGGGTTAGGGTTAGCCAGGTTGGAAAAGAGAAGAACGTTAGGGTTCTAGAAATCGTATTTGCAACAAGAACAGCTGTCTTAGTTATGAATATTAAGCAGGGTGAAACACATTAAATTTAAACAAATGTTTGATGTGTGTATATTTTAAAATTTTTATAAATTTATGGGGGATATAAAAAGCCAGGTACGATTATATCGAACTTGTAGGGGCAAAGCAAATTAGTTTGTTATAGAGGAAGTTATATATAATTTGTACAATTTTTCCTTAAGGTGGCTTGTTATATCAAATCAAAATACATATTTTGTGTATCTATTATATATGGATTAATAGTTTATATAAAACGGCATTTACATTAGAACTTTTTACCGGGTTACCTACTTTATGAGGATTTATTTGACATATATGTAAAGGAAATGACAATTGAAACCCACTGGGTTAACGAAATCCTGTTAAATGTAAACGTACTATAACAGTAAAATTATTACAAGGTAGGGTACAGCTTCCAATTGATTACAATTTTTTCTCAAGTTGGCTTGTTCAAATCAAAATACATATTGTGTTTATGTGTATTGTTTTGAATACTATGTCAAATAATTTCAAAATATATTGAAATAAATTCGAATTTAATTGAAATAAAAATGATGTTTTTAACGCATCCGTCCGTCCGTCTGGATGTAATTACTTTGTTATGAATGAAACAAATATTTCATGGTATTTCCTATAGGATTTTGGAAAGAAATCACAAGCGCTGGTGAATGTTATGATTTTTTGAAAGAAATCATAGCTTTCACAAGCACTTGTTGTGTATAGGCGTCAGGTGAGTTGCCCACACTCGGAAAACCCCTCTTACTATGAAAAAGCAACGAAAAAGAAAACAAAACCCCCTAATGTTGACGACACCCGCAAAAGTATAAAGGACCATGATCTGCGAATCTGCACTTGGAATGTGCGCACGTTGTACAGAACAGTCACAGTTTTCGCCTTGGCAGATGTACTCAAGAAGTACAAAGCCCATATAATTGTCTTACAGGAAATGCGTTGGAAAGGGACTGGTGTACGTAATGCAGATGATTACACCCTGTAAACGAGACGTGAATTTGGTTGCGGATTTATGGTTAATAGGAGAATAAAAGACATCGTTTCCAGATTCACTCTAGTAGATGAGCGAATTGCTATAATCGGAGTAAAAGCGAAATTCTACTACATCAGTCTTATTTGCCCATGCTCCGACGAAAGACAAAGACGAACAGACCAAAGACATTTTTTACGAGCGCCTAGAAACAGAATGTGAGCGCTGCCTGGCCATGACATTAAAGTTCTCCTAGGAAATTTTAATGCAAAAATCGGAAGGGAAATATTTTTGGTCCCACCGTTGGAAAATTCAGCCTCCACGACGAAACATCCGACAACGGCATGAGGTTGATTGACTTCGCGGCAGCAAAAACATAGTAGTTAGCAGCACGAGATTCAAGCATCGCGATATACACAAGGCCACCTAGATTTCTCCTGATCAAGCAACAGTTACCGGTGGAAAATTTGATTTTTAAAAACAGAGAGTAAATGTGAAAAAATGGCTTAAGAAACATTTATGACAATAGAAGCATTTCGATGTTATCTAAAAGAAATAATTTTAGCTGGGTTTTAAAATTGGAGAGTCTAGAAATATCATTCAGACTTTGAGGAAGGTGATTATATTCAGAACATGCGGTATGTTCCATGCGTTGTTTTGTGGTTTCTAATCTGCATCGTTTAATGAAAGATTATAACTATTTATCGTATTAAAATGTGTTTGATTTTACGAAAAACGTATGGCGTGGTAACCAATGTTATTTATATATTTGTGCATGTATGTTAGTAGTGCTATAGTGGTAAAATAGTTTTGGATACATTTTTAAACAATAATGACGTCGGATTCATTTTATGAAAGATTGTAAACGACTCTGAGGGCCTTATTTTGTAATCTCTGCAAATACTTCGGAGGTAGCTTTCTATAATCTTATTATTATTTCCAACGATTCCATAATAAGATAGTTTCTGTAATAAAATGTCATAATCTACTAAGTCGAAGCTTTTGGCAAGCAAGTCGTAGAAAACGCCAGCAACTACGCCGCAGCCGTTATCTAAACCATCACATATAAGGTTGAATACAATAACAATATCTTCCTGCGTCCCACTGCCTTTTTTGAAACCAAATTGATACCTGTACAACAAATTGAATTCTTCCATGTAAGCCATTAACTTTTTATTTAATATTTTTTCAAAATTTTTTTTTTACATTTAGAGATATGACATATCTGTAAAGGAATTGGCAAATTTAGATTTACTGGATTTAATAAATCCGACACAATGTAAACGTACAATAATATTCAACTAATCAAGTACTCTCTTTTTTATTACTATCTAGACCCGAAATCGTGTTCTATGAAAATGTGAAATTAAGATTTTAGAAATGAGAAAAATTGTCACTTGATAATATTTATAAGAACATTTACTTTCACTTACTTTGACTTATTGCGAGTGCTTACTAATATAAATCATTTCATTGACGTATATAACACGTAATAAACACGATGTAAACATAATATAAAACATATTTCTTTCACTGACGAAAATTTGTAGCAATTCCCCTAAAATATTACCAAATGTTGTGTTGTGTATACCCCACTATATACATTAGTATTCTCCATCAGCTGTTCGCTCTTTACATCCCTTTTTGACATCGCAATGTGAACACCCCTAATTTAAATACCAAAACTCCACAATTTGTCAGGTATACACAACGCTGTATCAACATTTGGCAAATGCCGCATTTCTATGCAATAAAATTTCAATTATTTCGCTAATACGTGGATTTTTCCACATAATTTCAATATTCTTGGATTAAATTGGTTTATTACCTGCACCAAAGAGCGCATATTCAGGTATACAATAAATAAAAATTCGATGTTACCTCGCGTACGGTATAATTTGAAATTTTAATACCATTTTCAGCAACACTGGCGCTTAGACGCATCACATCTTTTTTTTTTGAATTTGTTGTGCTAGAGTGCGGTTTATCAGTCAAACTGAGCAGAACAGGACCCCGAGTGCATTCAATTGTAGAACATTTTTGTGATTAAAAAACAGTGAATTTGTTATGAACCTCTTGATTAAATCAAAAGAAAAAATTTGAACAAAAAACATGGATCGTTTTGTAACACGAGCACCAACATGGAAGACCGTGAACTATGGCAGTGTTGTGGCTCAAGCCAATAATCGTAGCGCGAATTCTAAATTTTCTGCCGCGGCAACAGTAGCATCTCAACAATTAAAGAAACAGCCTTTGCAGCAAAAACAATTGGGTGGAAATGTCCCAAAACCAATGGCTCAAGATTTTGGAGAACGTCTTGCGGATATTTTCAAGCCCACAGCAAATTTAGAGACCTTAAATATCAATGGAAATAGTAATGACAGTGGTCTGAGTAGTGCCTCAAGTATATCTCCACCCCAAAATCATATGGAGGAGAATATGCAGAATGTGCCTCACCACATGCAGACGCCAACCAAGAACAAGGGATTGGGTAAGTGAAACTTTGGGATATTATTTAAAAATGTTCACAATTTTGAGAAATGTATTTGAAAATATATTTATTAAATTGCTTTTGTTTTGTTTGTGTACTAAAAAATCCATCTGAAAAACATCTTGTGTACTAAAATATTTGTCGTTTGGAAAATGTGTTGGCAATTCAGAATTTCATTGAACATGTGTCTGTGTGGGTGTGCTGACTGTGAGTAAAAAGTGGTCAAAGAGAAGAAAAATGACTTTTTTGACGTTTATTTGACAGTTATCATACTGAAAAAGAAGGGGGAAATAAATTATAAACAAGTTTTCTTTTGTTGATTGTGAAAAAATAACATTGAAAATTATTCTTCTGAAAATCAAGACTAATTTTCATTATCACACAAACAGGCAAACTGGGTGACTATATGGATGGTCCCGAGGAGAAGGAAAATGATACATATATGACCCACAACAACAACCGTACACCCAAATCCATCCAAAAGAAGAAGGCCACAGTTGCTGTTGGTCTAAAAGAAAACACTCCAAGTAAACAACTACCTCAAACCCCCAAAGTCAATAAACCCATAACAACAACAAGTACAACAACCGCTGATAAATTAACTCCTTCAACCAATCCAATGTTAATGGCACGTATACAAAGGGATTTGAACAGTCCCTCCGCATCGGTACGAGTAAGGGCCCTTAAGGCCATAAGGTAATGTTACTTACAATACATGACAAATACAAAAATGAACAACAAATCCGATTTATTTTTCAGCTCACCCACCAAATCTCCTTATACCCATTTCGATATACCCGAGGCTGAGCAAAGTCTTAACTTTTCGGCTGTCCAACAGGAAGCACCCGATATCAAGGAAGTTATGCGTAATGTTGTTGTCTATGTCGAAGTTAGGTCGGGTGAGGACAATCGTTCCGATGGTGTACGAAAAGTTATTGAAGCGCTGGGCGCTCGTGTTAATCTCAAATTGTTACGGTATGCGGGAAGATAAGACGCCAAATTAATTTTATTATTTATAAATGAACATATTTTTGGTTTTGCAGTGATACAACCCATGTCGTCTTTAAAGATGGCCTATTGTCCACATTTAAAAAAGCCCAACAATGGGGCATACCCGTCGTTTCAATCTTATGGATTGAGGCATGTAAAACTAAAAATCGTATATGTGATCCCAAAGATTATCCCATATCGAATTTAGATCGTTATGAAAATCCTGAATTGTATACAAAAATGAAGGTAAGTAAATATTTTAAAATTTTATAAACATTTAAGTAATATTTTGATCCCATATAAATTTTAAACAATTCTTATTAGAAGCGCTATAAATAGTTTTTCTAGTGTTTTGTGGAAAATACCAATATAAGCTTTCCACACATTTCTTTTTGTTATTTTGGAGGTCAAATATGTATTCGGTTACAAGGACAACTATGTTTTGGTGACATTAGCTGTGTTCCAGTAATTTTTGTAAAGTAAAATTAATGTTCAAATTGATATGAGAGGTTGAATCTAGCAAAAATTAGTTTCAAGGATATGTTACCAACTCGAATAAAAATTTGCATATCGTTTCAAATCCAAAACAGTCGGTCTTTAGAAGTCTTAGTGTGAAATTGTCGAATAAGACAGTAATGATTCTATGTGTCATCCACAGACAATATTCTCTATGTGGGACTGATGAAATCTGCTAAAGTTTTATCTCAACAGGTGTAGTGTGAAATTATCGAATTAGAGAGTAATCCTGTGTATGGTAATAGTTCCTTTTGTAATCTGCAAACTATATTCTCTATGTCAGAGCCTGATGAAAACTGCTAATGGTTTATCTCAACGGGGGTTTGATAGAAATATCATTTAGTATAGTATTATATATTAGTATTTCAAAATCGATGTGCATGTAGTCACCGACGTTATTTCCATTAACCAATAAACGTCTTTATGACGTAATTCCAGTAGCCTCAAAACCGATATGATGGAGTTTATGGTCAAGTTGGTAAAGTGCGCACCATTATACCGTATCGCCATAAATCTTAACGCCTTCCAATAGATTTTTGCTAGAATAGAGTTTTATGAGACCTCTCATTTTCTGCTGGACAAAGTTATTTTTAGACATGTCCGTCTGTCTGTTGATGTTATGTTCCAAAAGGAAATAGTTGATCATACAAACGATATTCTGATGAAGATGAACCAGAAGCCACAAGAAGAAGTAGGAAAATAACTCGTTTGTCAAAAAACTATTTGACTATTTAACGGGCTTCAATGCAGAAAGAATGCATAACAATGACTCAGAAAACTTTGAAGATATTTTAAACAGTGTAAATACAAACGGAGAGGGAAGTAGAGGAGGAGCTGAATTCAATGAAGGCAAATAATGTCCTAACTCCAAATTGTTAGCGTCAAAGTGGGTCTTCCGAATAAAAGAAAATGAAGATGGGGCCCGGCGAAGTATAAAGCTTTATTTATCTATTGTCTCTGACTAGTTGTGAGAGGATATCTTCAAAAGTATTGAGTAGACTACAGTGATACATATGCACCTGTTGCAAAGATGAACATGCTTCGAATTGTCTTAGCGGTCGGAATACAACATACATATTTCTTACATCAGTTGCACGTAAAAACTGCATTTCGGCAGAACATATACATGGCTCTGCCTGATGGATGGTGTAAATTACAAAAGGGGTCATTACTGCAAGCTTGAGAATTCTCTCTATGGTCTAAAGCAAGTACCCAAATGCTGGAACAATAAGTTTAATGATTTAATCTCTTGTATATACCCAAGTGTTGGCAGGTATCGTATGGTCGTTGTTCTTGTTGTTGTAGCAGCCCTAATGGTTTTACGCAATGGGGTGAGGTGACAAACGTTGGCCAAGTAAGATTCGGGTCGTTTCGGATCGTAGACTCCTCTGTCGTGGAAACTCATCGTA